GATGAAAAAATATGATCATCTAATCAAAGAGCGACGAATTTCCATGTTGTTAGCAATTGCAATTACTTATTATTCTCTCCATGAAGACATAACAAATGCAGCAGAATATTTTTTAAAAGCTCTTATGATAGATCCAACAAATAAAAAGTTCAAGGTTTGTATTTAAATATACAGTATAGTTTTACATGTGTGTATAGAATATTAAAAAAAAAGTTCAAGATTTATAGAATAAATTTTACAAAGTCAAGTAAAAAAATGCATCAAAAACGTGAATCAAAAAATCTGTTTTGAAAGTAAATTTTCGGTTTTGATCAAATAATTTGCTTGTTTACATACTTATTGTATGTAATATATAAATAAAAAATTATTTTACAGATTCTCATTTTGAAATTCTCGTTCTATTACAAAAAGTGTAAAGTATTTTAAATATATCTTTTGTTCTTTACACCACAGATTGTGGACTCTTTCACTTGTATCAAAGCAAAATAATATTATTTTTTCTTCTAAAATATTTGTGAACAAAAAAAAGAACTTCTTTGTTTTGACATTAATATTATAAATAATAAAAACAAATGTCATATCATTTTTGTGTTATTAAAATTGACAAGTAAAAAATCATTTCTATTTATATCTTATAAAATCCTGAATTTTTTTAGAATTTTAAATATACATACATACATACACATATATATGAATTTATACTAAACACACATGTGCCTTAATAATATAGAAATAATCATGCAATTATAGATCATATGAAATATTTTTATATATAACTGTTTTTGTTTTAGATATATTATCGATTTCTTGATTTTAATACTCAAAGTATTTTATTATTTTTAAACACTGAATTTTGTCCTCTTCTCGAGAGTAAAATTTACAAGAGACGAGTCAAAAAATAAAAGATCTTTTGAATTTAAGGGAGGTAACTGCTGAAGACATAACATATTTATCAGAAGAATTTAGAAATCTTTGTAAGAATAATTGACCATAGCAACTCGAGCATAAAGATTATTTGCAATCTTTATTTGAAAATTGTCATTTATAAAACATTGTATTATCACTATTTTAATTCAGTATCTTATAATTTACTAGTAATACACATTGAATTTTATTTTCAAGTAAACTATATTATATGTTAAATATATAGTAATAAATATTTTAAGAAATTGATTAAGTATAAGTAATATACATATTCATATAAATAATGAGTGTGTTAAATGTTTTAAAATTATAATATTAAATGTAATATAGCTATAAGTAACATGTATTTAAATAATATGTATATTAATTGTGATCGTCATGTATCTAAATTTGTTTTATTGACAAAGATAATAAATTTTACGAATTTAAATTTATATATAGTTTTCCTCGACTTTAAAAAAAAGAGTTGATTAACGCGCGCAATTTCCACCAATGAATGTTAAGAATCTACTTCAGTGCGTTGAAAACTTGCGTCGTGCACACGAAATTCCAAAATTTTTTCGGAGCACGATGAATGCTACCGGTGTAGGGGTGAAGATATACGATGAGGGAGTATGTATCTATGAACACGAGGTTATCCAATCTAATGAAAATGACCTGAGAACGTTGCTGCAGCATCTACGAGACGTGCAATCGAAAGTCAATGTTTTTTTAACCACACTGATTCAGCAGCAAGACACGATTAGCGGAGAACAAAGTAATTCGATTACAGACACGAATAAAGATATCGAATTAATCTTTTTTTTTTCCTTCGCCTTCATGTAATCCATAATTCGCTCGTTTTGCGTAGAGACGACGAGTCGATCAATTTCCTCGGATATCGCACGGGACTCCATCGTGGAGGAAGAAGAGGTTAATCCCAAAAAATGCAAGTTGTCGATGTAGTAGTTGTTGATTTTCTGTATACTCTGTGTGTTAATAAATATTACTTTTCGATGTTTTATAACGAGGAGTTCGAACGCCACTATCCGTATCTCCGTATTTCCACTTGTTTCGTTCCAGAGCGCGGCATTTTTACAGGATCACCGTCGTGTTCGACGATAAAATGGCTAAAACCCTGATAACTTCTTAGCGAGAACGATACATTGTCAAGCGAAACGACGACGACGGTGCACGCCGACGAGTTTGCCCAGGCCGAGACACAATTTGGTAATTTGTCATTTTCCGCAAATGTTACGTCGATCGTCTGGACAAGCTATTTGTTTCTCGACTTTCGTTGCGTTTTATACGTCAAGTAACATCCCTAACCTGGCAAAATTTTCATTTCCTTTTTTTCTTTATTTACTTATTTATGGAAATTGTATACTTACTCGGCTCTTTTTCAGTAAATCGTCTGCTTTATTTAATTACAGGAGATCTATTTATAGTGTTAAATGTGTAATAAAAAATATATATATTTTTTAAATAAATATATACATATTTATAAATGTATGTTATATTTTTATCTCACAAAATATATAAAAATATAACAATAACATTTATATTTTCCCGAAAACTGCTAAAAGCATTTATAAATTTCTTGTTTTTATCTACATCTTAAATTAATATAAAATACAATTATATAAAGTCTATATATTCTTTCCTTGTTAAAATTTCCAGCTGACTATTAATGTCTATGTATTTTTTTTTAAGCACGCAACATGTCTACCATGTTATCAAATGAAGCTCAACTACGTTACATGATAGAATGGTTCCAAGAATGGTCTGAAATGCAACGGAATGATTTTCTGGGAATATTGCTGGAAAACTGTGGCCCTCCAGGGCTTGTAAATGGATTAGTTTCTGGAATGGAAAAAACTGGATTGTGAAGGGTCTGATAGACCTCCAAGCTTGTTCCAGTGTCGTGTCAAGCTTTTTAAAGAGTGGAGTAGCAATTGGTCTCAAAATGAGAAGGATTCCTTATTGGCAGCTATTAAGAATATAGATAGTAAGTTTGCTGAAAAATATGAAGAAAGGTTATCAGCATTAATGGAAGATAAACAATAATAATGCATATATATGCATTAAGCACTATCTTTTACAATTTAGATTTTATCTACACATTTTTTTAAATTAATAAGAGTTTGTAAAAAACTCTTTTTATATTTATATATTTATTTTTTTTTAAGGAAAAGATATATGTTATACTATCTTATCATTTTATGTTAATAGAAATTTAGTACAACTGTATACTTTGCATAATTATTGATATATAGAAGTGACATAAATAAAAATTCTGATATTATTCATACACATCAACTTCATTAACTTAATTTTCCACTGTTTTATATTCATTTCTTATATGTGTCAAAAATTAATTTGTCACTTCTACAATAACAAAATCTGATCATTGACATAAAAAATATTTAAAACTCAATATTGAAAATAATGGAATTTTGACTGCAACTAATATATTAAATTAAGAGAAATTTATGAAATACGTAAGATAATTGTACAAATATATTTGGTAAATTTTACTCTTCTTAAATAAGTAAGATAAAGAATGACTATTAGGAATTGAACACTATTAAAAATCTGCAAAAATATTTATGTAATAATTGCACAGAGTAAAATCTTGTGTCAAAAATAAATATTTCTGTACATCTTTAATGCACTCAGTTCCTAATAGCCATTCTTATTTATTTACTTTTCTTATTTTAGAGTGAGAAATACGTATATTGCACATTGTACATTCCTCTATTTGCATTTTATATACATTTTGTATTTTATATACACTGTATTTAAATATCATTGTATAATCAAACTTCATCTATATTATTTTTATTTGTTCCATTTAAATTTTTTATCCAAAAATAACATCCAACTAAATAAAATATTAAGGATTTTACATTTAATATGTAATTAATTTTTAAGGACGTAATGAATATTGTGTATAAATCTTAATGATTATATTATCATAATATAATAGTAATTATATAATGATATTAATATATAATGATATATAGTGATATACAGTAATTATATAGTGATATATATGTCATAATTTATAATGTATTTCAACAATGTTTAATGATAATAAAACGTGTAATTCTCCAATGGAATATTTGCTATATTTAGACTCATTTTAAATGTAAATTACATGTTCCTCAGAAGAGAAAATTTAATAATAAACTTCAATTTTTAAAATACTAAGAAAGACAATTTCTATAATCTTTCTCTTTTTCTTTTAGAATTATAAAAAATACATATTTGCATTCTTTAAATGTAGAAAATATGATACACAATACATACAAGAATATTATCATAGGAACAAAAATCGTTTTAATTTATAGAATAAATATTTTTCTCTCAGACTTCTAATTTCTTATTTATGTTCTGAATTATGACGTCAGAAGTAAAAAAAAGATATATTCTATCTTGTAAAATACATTTAAATTTAAATTGGTTGTTATAAATTTCAAAGTTGCGTTTACATGAATTATTAATTATCATCTGCATGATGTTTACATAATTTTTTTTCAGATAAATATAGGTACTGTATAAACTATTATAAATTGTCAGAATGCAAAAAAGTTATGTAGTTAAGTGTTATATTGTAAAATAGTATTAATATATAATATAAACATATATGTGTCATTTATATATTTTTTAATCAATATGAAAATCAGTATTGAAAGTTTATTGAACCTTTTGTTAATTTTTCTTAACATCGTAAATTTTAAAAATTATCATGCTTAAACCATACATAACATAAACCAAGATTGGACGTAAAATATAATAGTTTACGTTTACTCGTAAATAACGTAAATTATGGTTAACATGTCAATGCATAATCTATAATAATATATCTGAAATATAGCTTATCAAATATGTTTCATTTATACAGTTTAAAAATGTAACAACATAATTTTAACATTTTACGATAAGAATAAAATATTTGCTAGAAAAATATATGAGTTTAAAAAAAAACTCATTTATTTTGATCTACTTTGCAAGAAAAAAACTCAAATTCCCTTTTTCAAAGTTATAACTCAATATAGTTGTAATAGGGACACAAAAAGTCTTAAATATTATTTATAAAATATCTTAAAGATAATTTAGCATTATTTCAGTCTTGAAATTATATTATCTCGCGTTCTCAATTCTTTTTCAAAATATAAATCTGCAAACTTATTTCTTTGGTTCTTGTTGTAGCCATTTAAGGCATATTGTTTTAATTGCATTTTGACCAAGTCTATCTGATTCTTTTAAAATTCTTTTTATATCTTGTGTTCTAGAATGTTTAACAGCAAGAAGATATGCAGCCTTTAATTGCTTGCTTTCAATGTATGCATTTATCTAAAAAGAAACATCATTGTAAGATATATATATAAATAATATATTGAAAATATCTTTTATTAACATTTAAAAAATTATAATTAACTCACCCTAAGTTTTACGTCAATTATTAACTTGATTAAAGTATCTATATGATTTTTAAGAACCGGATTCTGTTCACTGTATAAACGATTCGATAGTAATTTCATACAATGTGTCAAAACATGATCAGAAATTACATGTGCATTAGGTGTTCCAGAGCTGCGACAGCATTTGATCAATTGCTCGATCGCGGTTATGTCATTTTTTAGGGTCAATACATGGCCAGCTAAAGAATATATTTTCTGTTGTGGCAGATTATAATCTATAAAAATACAATATGAACAAATGATTAATTTAATTTTAATATATTTTATGTTACATTTTCTATTTATTTAATTTTAATGTAAATCATACAGGATGTGCATAGAAACTATTATATTGCATTCATATTATATTGTTACCTTGTATTATCCTAAAGGCTATACCGAATCCTTCTTCGATATCACGACACATAATATAGCTAGAACAGCCAAATGGATTTTCTGTTGCTGATTGCCAAACAACGTAGGCAATTCAAATGTTTGAGATTCGTCGCTATCAATGTTCGGGAAGAGGTTTAAAAATTCCGTCGGTGCTCTGTTTTCTCTTTCACAATTTGCTAAAAATTTTGTGATTTCCATCTGTCTGCATATAGTGTTTATATGTCTATCTATTTCCGATGGTTCCATCTCCATTGTTAGAATACTTTGACTGCTATGAGCAAAATTCGTGCCCTTTCTTTTTTTACTTAAGCTTTCGATTTGCAATTCTGATTCTAAATGTTTTTGCGCATCTTGCAAAAAGTGTGCCCTGTTATGCAAATCTAGATAGGAATTATTTCGCTGGTATAAAAATGAATGCATGTCATGGACGCTCTTATACAGTCTTTCATAAAGAGCTGTATCTGATATAAAATATTCCAATATTGTTTTCTCTCCATGAAATGGCAGACAAATATTAAATACTTTTTCCAAATGAATAGGGTGGAATCTTTTGCCTTCATTGCATCATGAAGTTTATCAGTGTCGCCATTCTTCAAACAATATAAATAAACTCCATTAAGAAATAAATCACATTCTATATCGTTTTCCAAAATATATACCAGGCATTTATCAAATTCTTTATGCTTCAAAAAGAATTGTAAGATGGAACTGTAGCTTCCATATGTCAATAGATAATATAAACTTTCTTGTAGTAAACTGTTAGATTAACAGGAGTCAGATATTTAGTATTAAATTGATTTTGGGTAAGAGCTTTGAGATTGTTAAGTGTATGAAAAATTTCCTGCGTTACATCGGATGTAGATTGAGACGACTGTTGTATTCGAAATCGATGTACGCTTAAATTATCTAATATTTGTAGAAGTTCCGTCAATAATGGTGGATCCTTTAGAGGCCGGAGGCACTTGGAGTATTCTTTTCTCTTCCAATAATCATCACCCTCTTTTTTTTTTCTCATCCAAAATTTTATTGTTCTTCACCACAGTTGTGTTGCTTTCCGTTGATTCTCTTCTGTGTTTTTCGAATTCTTTGGAATAAGATAGCACGACCCAATCGTCAAAATCCTCGTATACGATTTTGTCGAGGCAATGATGAAATTTCTCTCTCGCCTGATCTAAATAACCTATCTTCAAACAAGCTTTACCCCACGCGGCCCATACCCCCTGTGTGTCTAGTCCCGCTTTTGTACTAACATCCAATGCTAATGTCCATTGTTCCTTTTCAGTGAGAAGATCACGTAATTTTCTCAACGTGTGCTCGTCTAGATCATCCGTAGGTATCAGAGCCAAACATCGGATTGGATTAGAGTTGTGATAAGGTCCACTTGCGAAAGAAATCGATCGCAGTGTGTAAGACCAGTATTAAAACCAAGTTTCGCACACTTCACTTTAGCTGCGACCAATAGAGAACGTATCATTTTAATAATCACTGCATGATCAATTCAGGATTTATTCTGCCGCTAACGGGTAGGAGCAATTGCTTCATTTCATCGCAACGATCTAGTAAGAAGCTGTATATACAGTAAAAATTAATAAATCTTTTTACTTTTCCTTTTTTATAAATTAAAATCAATATTATAAATATTGCTATAAGTTAAATTATCTTATTCTGTATACTTCTTTTATTAAGTAAATTCTCTATATATATAATACTGTATTAAGAAAAACTTGGAAAATTTAATTTACCTGGTATACATCTTGTGATCAGATGCAAGTTAAGGGATAGCGAGACACAATGAAATATTTGGCCATACTCGAACGAGAACTCCTCCCTTATAGTGCGATTGTGCCTCTCTCTTCGTCAATCGCCAACAATCAAACATTTCATGTTAGATGTCGACGAGACACTTTGCGTCGCCATGCATCTGCAAATACTGTTTGACGTTTGNTTCATGCTTCATCAGGCCCGGTACTTTTTTATTTTCAAGCGTATACCGTACGTCATGATGTCTACCCATAATCGCTCGTGTCAAATCTGGCTATATCGGCGCTTCATTGTTTCTCATACACATCAACGCACCAATGTGATATATCAAACTATCTGCGGTATACATAATCTTTACATTTATCGCGATACATTGGCGTCATATACTCGTGATGAAATTCCGAAATACCAAACATGTCTTGGATATGAGTATGCACATACCCTCAAATCGGCTTGTAGAATTTCACCTCGAGTTTACGCAATTACACAGCGATTAAGTTTTCTGAAAAAAACGCTTCTGCTGTGGAAATTCGGGTTTCGCGATCATCGCTTCTGCAACCGTACTGGCCATCCCATTTTTTAATAAATTTATCATCGACACGATTCCGCACATTTTCCATCGTTTTACCAAACACAGCATTATTCATTAATTTTATAAATTTTTCTCGAAATCGTTTTTCGCGAGTGTTCTGAAATGTGTATTTAATTCGATATAACTGCGAAGCCATGGAGATTGCGTAATTGTAATACGCGATGTATTTTTGTTACACGAAGGCCGTGACGCGTACACTGCCTGTAGGTTACGGTAGTGTATCAACGTAACGCTTCTTATCATATAACGTTGCAAGTAGTTTGAATTCCCGCTTACCGGGCGGCTTGTCGCGCGTTGGACAAAACGGTAGATCAATGTGCGTATCGTGAAGATGTCGCGGGTATTCGAGATCGACTTCGAGGATATAGCCTGTAGGGGAATCTAGCGCGATAGATGACGCGTCAAATTCGACACGTCGTCGACCCATCGAAAATCGGCATAGGGCAACGGTTGATACATTGCCCATCCGTATAAATTATTAACGTCAAAATACATCAAGTATGACGATGGTTTCGATGGATCGTACGACTCCATGTACTTGTTATTTAGCGCAAGCGTATCTGTTGGAACATTGACTTAGACCAACCGCGTATACCACGTTCGATGAACATAACCATGTCGATATCCGTAAGCAACTCGAACGTGATCTTTGTATGCTTTAACATGGCGTCCCACGTGTATCCGGGGAGAGTATAATAATACGCGGGGTCGAGTCCGTAACTTTTGATGCAGCTATCGCGAAAATTTTCGAAAATATCTGCTAATAACAATACGTCGATTTTGAGATACATGTCGCTATATTCGCCCAGCGTCCGAATGGAGAACTGCGTCCAGACGTTCTCGGCGTGCGCGTAATCGCTCTCGGATACAGTTTCACCGGTCAAAGAACTGTAAAACGATTCGCGCGGTGGTAAACACGTATCGTGCAACCTGTCAATGGAATCGATGTATTCGTATGGAAATACACCTTTTCGCGTTAACAAATTGAAATTTTCGGCAGATAAATTTTGAAATTCCGATTTTAAAATTTTGAGTTTATCTTTGTCCAAAAATGATGTCAATTTATCGAGACTCGATGTAAGAAATTTGTATGAATCGATGAAACGTAATTTTATTTGATTTTTTGATTCTTCTTTAAAATCAACACTTTTAGTAAATGAAATATATTTTTCCTTGGTTATCGGCAACAACTCGATTTTCCCTTCGAACGCTGTGGCTATTTCCTCGATGATAAAATGAGAATCGTAACCGGATAAATTGTGAAAAACTATCGGAATGCAAAAAGAATCTTTATAATTTAGATTACAATTTGAATGTGCAGGACCTCTGTACCGCCCGGTCAGATGGCAATGATCGCGAACGCGTGTATCATCTTGCGCGAACGGTTTTTCGCATATGTGACATTGAGTAACGTGATAAAATTTTTTCTGTTCTTCGAACGTTAAATCTACCAAGGGGACATTTGTTTTTAAAATATTTTTTACGCGTAATGCCAAATTTTTAAGATCTTTAACGAACCATGCTATACAATCGGCGCTACGATGCGAATGATACGCCGATAAAGATTTGTCGAACGAGCAATGTACATAGTAAGCTATGCTAAATACTTGATGATGATGTTGATATAATTTCTCTTCTTCCTTCTTGGCCAGGACGCATTCCAAGTCGGCGTACACAATGAATGGAAGCCGCTCCTTCCGATTAGGGTTGCTGAACTCGAGCCACTTGTCCTTGTCGCTCGGCAATCGGACAGCACAGTCGTTTAGCTTTCCGCAGTCGACCGTATGCAACTGCAACTTGTCGTCCGAACCAAAATAATGTAGACATCTGTAAAGGAAAAAAAATTTTAATTAAGATTTTAACAATCCATATTATAATTATACAAATTATAATTATTCAAATAATATAAAATAAACTTACCGATCGCAGATATATTTCTTGTGATCTTTTTTGCTGAGTTGCGAGCTCACTAGTCGGGATAGATTCTTGATCCACGCGAAATGTCCCACGCTGTTGTTACCATCTTCTACGTATAGCAGATTCACATGCTTGTCCCGTTTCTGCTGTGAAAGATGTATCGGGGCAATGTTGTTCTCTTTCTCGATGCTGTACACGTTGATTGAAATGTTATTTGCATGTTCAAATTTCTTAATCTGATTCACAGTCGCTGGAAACTCAATGTCCCGGAGATTCAGCACTGTCGCGTAATGCGGGTACGATGATTCCCGTTCCGCGTGACTTTCGGCGGGATACAGAGCGGCGACCACTGCCCACGCGAAACATGCATTGTCCTTTGATTGCACGTTAATCACCGCTCTCTTCATCATAATATCCCGCGGTAACTTGATGTGACATCCCGCGTGCATGGGATTGAACTTGTTAATATTTACAGTCAAGTTCAGTATTCGCGACAAAGCCCACCCGCTATCGCGTTCCTGAAATTCTTCCAGAGACGCTAGGGTGGACTCGATAACGCGCTGTTCGTACCACTCGCGTAAATTGGATGTGCGAAAGATCATGGTTTCTTGTATTTACACTTTTATTCGCATGTTTATCTCCGGCCACAAATTCACCATTGAATATTGTGTTCACTTTTATACTGCTGTGTTTTTCTAGAGCGTCCTGCACATGTTCTATCACAATGTCTTCGGCATCCTTGAGAAATTGGCGCGGTTCGATGTGATTATAATTTATCACCGCACCAGTCGATACGCGACTTTCGAACGCGGTATCGATCTCTCGCCAAATGAGTCTCTCCGCGTTATTGTCATCGCTGTAATCACCACCACTGGGAATAAATCTCCTCTGCAATCGAGTTTTTGCACCTTCGAGCTGCGTGATTTTGGCTACCAGAGATTGTTTACATCCGATCAAGAGTCGCGGACGCTTAACACAACTGCGTTCTTCGAGCTCTTTGATCAATTCCTCGCAACGCTGCAGCCATGCAAAATACTCGCTCAAGGTGGTAATTTGGCGAGATCGCTCTATCAGATCGCCTTCAGTCTGCTCGATGTTTTCCATTTTATGTATAATCACACAATATATATATATCACAGAAGACTAACAGAACACTATCTTTTTTCTGACAAAACACTTTCCGAGAGAACACTATTTTTTGCTACCGACGTGTTGATGCGTTTTCAAATGATGTACTATGATCTGCTGCGCTTCGATCCTTCTTATATTCGACCAACAAGCTTTCAGAGACTGTTGGGGGTTGACACGAAAGAAAATTTTCTTGCAAATGTACCTAGGATCGTAGAAAAAATGCGCTATTATATTACACAGATTGCTTGAAAAGGTTGGACTGAAATATCTCAAAAATGTAAGTTTATGAAATAAAGTCATAAAAATATGTATAAGAGTAAAAAAAAAAAAGAGTATAAAAGGTTTTCTATAGTATCCCATTTGGAAGAAAATTTTCTTTGTGTCCCCCGATAATCTCTGAAAGCTTGTCCGCTTAATCTCTATTGTTTATACGTCGAACGGGAAAAAAAACCTGGAATTATCTATTACGGGTGTACCTCGAGAGTACAAAGCAGCCGAACATCGGCGCTGATATGTAAACGAGGGAGACACCTCCGATTAGTCAATCAAAGCCAATTGTGTCCAATTGTATTGTGTCTAATCGAGTAATCCCCAGACAAAGCAGCCGATCATTAGCGCTATTAAAATTTTTCCTTAAAAAATAAAATTTTTCCTTAAAAAATAAAATAAAATACAATAAAATAAAAGAACAATAAAAAGGATTAGGTCCGCAAAATCTTTTTCAAAATATATAATAAAATACAATATATATAAAAATATATATAAAAATATATATAAATATATATAAATATATATAAAATATATATAAAAATATATAATAAAATACAATAAAATAAAATAAAAGAACAATAAAAAAGATTAGGTCCCCAAAATCTTTTTCAAAATATAATAAAATACAATAAAATAAAATAAAAGAACAATAAAAAAGATTAGGTCCCCAAAATCTTTTTCAAAATATAATAAAATATAAAATATAATAAAATATAATAAAATACAATAAAATAAAATAAAAGAACA